CACTTCTGAGATTCACAGTGTGTGAGGCAGGGTTTAGACCTTCTGTGTGCTCTCACAGGGTCCTCTCCAGCAGCTTATTCTGATTCTGCAAGGGGATGAAGGATATCCCAGACCTTTCGAATCATGTCCTACTGTGTCACAATGTGAATGTCCCATCACCATGGATAGTGTGGGTACATGGTGTACAGTATCCATGCAGGTATCACCCACTGTGCTTGAAATATGCATGTACTTGTCTCCAGCTTCTTGTCTCTCTATAGTTAAGAGCATGTATTTTGAGTGTAACATCTCAGACTTCTTAAGACAATCTTACAGGAAAATGGACTCCAAAGTTACAACTTAACAAGGGTTATCCCATGATGTGTACCAGCCTGCTTCCTTCATGCATTCAAGAAGATGCTTAGACCACTATATAGAAGGATATGACAAAATGTGTCTTGAAAAGTCATTAACATTGCTCAAAGGAAGTCTAAATAGGCAGAAAATAGAAGCAGATTTAAGAAATCACCTGTTCAGCTAGAAGCAGGTTTTTCCAAAATTCTTGACTCAACTTGCAATGTGAGTTAGGGCTCTTCTTTACATTCATTTGTGAGGGCTTGGTGCACACAACCTATTATTGTTCTGACCTGTCCATTCATTGAACCCCTAAGGTTAATATGGGGCATAAAGACTGGGCTGATGTTTCTTTGCTTGGTAATAAGAACCACAACCTTATGCTTATAAGTGGTGAGAGCCTTGAGATAACTTCCTTCCAAATCCCCTAAAGCCTCATCTGAAATGGTTCAGTTGTTATCCCTTACACAAGTGCAGTATTTATTGATATTTTTGTGTTCTTTGCAATCTATGTTCAAATTAGAGCAGCTAACACATCTATCAGGGTAAAGGAAAGGTCTAGTTCCTGTGCATGGATTTTTACACAACCCAAACAGTTCTTTGTTTTGTTAAGGTCATTGAAAAACAGAGAGCAAGTAAGAAAAAAGAAACACAAGGAAACTACAGGATATGATTCATAAAAATCCCACGTCTCCTCTATATGCTCATCCAGGGCTCTTTGAAAAAATAAATAAAAGTTTTTGTTCTTTAGCAATGTTCCAGTAAGTAATAACATGCCAGAGAACAAGCAAGCCCAAAACAATGAGCTAAAATTAGAAGAGGCAGATTCAGCATCTAAAGTCACAAATACACATACACTTGCTTTATAATGTGAAGGCATCTGGAAGAAATATAGTCACATGGACCATCTGGGTGCTGGCATTAGGACTGCAGCTCAGGAGATTCTTCCATCAGCTACAGCTCTTTGTGGATCCTTGAACAACTCTTTTAATCCTATCTGTGAAAAGAGGCAACAACTGGCCTGCTTTTGTGGTTGTTGTGACGATGAAATCCTGGGTGTTTACAAGGATCTTGGATTTTCATGTAGAGTGTCACCGAAATAAAATCCACTTGGTATTAGAAAGTGATAAAAAAATAATTCAGTTTGAGCCATTTTGCTATTCAGAGTAAGTCTACCTCCCACTGAAATGGAAGAGAAAGAGATGGTGTATACTAGTACTACCATTAGTCAGTACCTCAGTATTAATACCAATAATTTTTTTTTCTGGCATATATTTCTATTAACCTAAAAAAAAAATATAATTCTGTGCAGCCAGATCAGTTTTTTTCTCTTGCTAGCCATGATCAATTCTCAGTAGACCTTTATCAGCTCAATCAATAAATCACTTACATTCCCATGGAGACCTGTTCAACAACAGCGAGTCGCAGTAAGATATACATAAGACCCTGGGGAATCATGACTTGTGATCAAGACCACTCCTCCCATATTGTGCCATCAACCATTAATTGTAGAAGGAGTTACTTACATCTGCACAGGAGGAAAGGACAGCCACCATGAGTACACACAAATTTTTACATTACAATGAGGATTCAGGAGAAGCTATCTGATACCACTCTAGATTTACATCCCCAGTGCAGATATAGGCTCTAGAAGAGACAACATGAGATATTGTAAGTCAATGAAGACAGAGAGGTTTTTCAGCACCCAATATTCCTAAAAATTCCAAAGATTTAATTGCAAGGCAATACTACACGGTGTTGATGCTTCCCATTAAATATTTTGCTGGCCATTTTAAAGTATAACTGGAGTCCACATATTAATTTTTAAAGTTTTTCTGTTCTTTTTGCTGTTTACAGATGTTGTTTCAGCTGTTCTTAAACTATGTACACAACTTTCAGTATGAGTCCAAACGCCCACTGCAGGCAATAGCTCAGAAGGATCGGGGACTGGTTCCTTCTGGCTGAGGTGGCAGAGACAGAATTGCTACACATCAGACCTAGTGACAGACAATACACATTTGTATGTTGGCTAACATCATACACATTTATATAAGATGATTTTTAAGGGAGGAGGAGAGGTGGTTGAGATTGAGAAATCAATTGCAGAATTAATTTTGGGTTTGTTTCCTAAGAATCAGCTGTTATTTTCCCTGTTGCATTTGGTGGCTAGAACAAGGAATAATCTTATTTGCCCCTACTCATAGACCAAATTAAATATAACAAGACTAGATTAAATTATAGACTCTATACTAGATTAACTATAGATATTTCTGTAAGATTCTCAAAACTAGATTATCTAAAATACTGAGAGAAATATTTGACCTTTACTGGTTGTGTTGCCTGACATAAGTTGGAAAGCAGAATTTAGACAATGAAAGGCAAGAAAAGTTAAGAAAAAAATTATTACAGATGATCCCACTTATGTTCATAGCCTTTGTTACTGTGTAGAGTCTGGCAGAATTGCATGTAGCTAGGCTGGGCCTCTGTCACCAATATCAGGTACCGTGAATATGGAAAGTGAGCCTGTACTGATTGGGGGGAATATAAATATTTGCAATGCATGCTTTTACCTCGATTGACTGATTGACGGATATTTTTCTTTGATAACACCTAATAACTTTAGCACTGACTAATATTTAAATGAGATTAGACAGTTACAGAACAATGCATTCAAATGCTATAATGATCTGAATGTTGTAAAATTATGTTGCTTGTACGCAAAATATACCACAAAAGAGGTAATTTGTGATTTTATCAGCAATGCTCTATTTAGTTGTTAATAATCTATGAAGACATTAGTGTGGCAGTTGTAACAGGCAGTTGTAACATCTTTCAGTGATACGTGGACAGAGGAGTACAGCCTGAAGCAGCATACAAGATAAGAGTAATAAATAAGCTAAGGTTTTCACAAAATGCTGGACCCATACCCTTACTCAGCTTCTAGTAAAGTAATTTTGGGTTTTCACTGAACCTGCCCCCTTTTATAGTCAAGTCCAGAAAAGGATGTAACAAGAATCCTGAAACTCTATTTTCCAAGTCTCCAGGAGGCCTCTATGAATGAAATACTGTGCCTGGGCCACTGTGATAGCAAAAGGAGAAATAAAACCCTTATCCGTTAAAATAAAAAAAAAAAAAAAAAAAAAAAAAAGAAAGAAGGTATCTCTACTGCAAGCTGAAACAATAATTTTAACATCATCTTCTTCTCATTTGGCAGGGAAAAGAGGCAGAAATAAGGAAAAAGAGCAATGGCTTAACACATACTAATTCAGCTTTTATCTTACTCTTTACCCTTTCTGACAAGGAGCCATCCAACTCTTGCTGCTCCTTTCAAAGCTGCCAGTGGAAAGAAAGATTTTTCCTGGGGAGGAAGATCTCCAGGGGAAGCAGTAAAAAAGCATGAGAAAAAGAATCTGGAAGAATTCACTCCCACCCACCTACAGGAGATTCCTAGAAGCATTGTTAGTCTGAAGGTTTCCAAAAACCCACTCCACTTCTCAAAGGCAGGGTCATTTCTGTGGCAGGTTGATTTTAAAGCAGCAACGGTGTCTAGCTGGAACCTCTCACAAGGTTGGAATGATAGAAGTAGTCCCAGGGGAGAGGGTTTAATGTACAAAATGCAGGTGAGGCAGCCAGAAAAACATGATGAATGCAATTTATCACAGGGCTCTGCAATTTATCACAGTGGAATCACAGGAAACAAGCAGCGCAGAGAAGCAGATAGATAGACTACATAGATTAAGTTTCTCTGGGCATGGAACTTCTTTGAAATATGCCAAGGAAATTACACATTACAAGTCCAGATTTTCAAACAATATTTTATTGATTGGAATGGAGCTCTGTGTTTCTGGGGCTGGAGTCCTTCTCCCCAGAAAGGAAAGTATTATTAAAAGAGTGAAATAAAGCTAAAATTATAGGATGCTGTTTTGCTTCATTTTGGTTTTAATCCAGCTCTGGAGATGCCCTGGATACATGCCAGGAGGTAGGGGTTTGCATGTGCAAATCAAGTGCCTGCACTTCCCAGCTACCCTTCTGCTCCCTCCGTTTACAAGTTTAGGTGCGCGAAGCTCCACGCGCAGGAGCAATTTCAGTCTGTGACCTGCTTTTGACGATGTGCAAGTGATCAAAGTGCGCTCACAGCACACACTCTCCTTCCTCACGCCACTGCTTTTGCAGGGAGCCATCCTCAAAACAGGTCTGTAGTATCAGCGTAACAACTCCAGGTTTTACAGCAGCAGGGCTGGCGCGATACCATGGTCCAGAGTACTGCTGCAGCATGCTGGATATTCCCCACCTCCCACAAAGTAGGGGCCTTTCAGCTTTCAAAACAGCACATGTACTATTTAAATTGTTTCACTGGGAGGAGAGTTATGTGTTCTGAAATGCCTCAGGACAATGAGCCAAAGGAACTATAGAATATGAGCTTGGTGTTAAAGCTGGAGCTCTGCAACGCTCTGCTTTGTGTGCGTTTTAGCCTGCTATGTAACATTACTTTTATATTAACATTTGTGGTTCCTTTTTTATGCACTCCAGCTTCACCATGCTCCGCCCTTTATATTTTAACAGTCAGATTCCTATGATCCAACCAGGGTGGCATGTTCAAAGCTCCACTTCTCTTTAGCGCAGATTTAAAAAAAAAAAAAAAAAGGCAAAAAAAGCTCAGAGTATCAAACAAGCTTACTTCAAATAGCTTTTATTCACACTAGGACAAGACTATAGCCAAAGAATTATACAAAACACAAAACAAAAGGGTTTTTAACAACTTGGTTGAAGACTATTTCACGCCAATTCAATGCTTGTATATCTATAATAAACAAAGTTTTGGAGCACAATATTACTTAACATTACTCATTGAATGCTTTCAGATACAAAAATGTATCAGGAATAATAACAATAATCCACAGGTTCCTTTTACTCTTATGGAAATATTACTATTGACCTTTAAAAATGTTGCCCTTTGGATCGATCTCACTGACGCTTTATCCCTTAGAATCTGATCTGCCTGGAAAGACAAATTACAGATAAACTTTCAGTGCTCTGAGCAAAAGGACTGTTTTTTATCATAGAAACAGGTAGCAACATCAATTTCCCAAGAAAAAAATAGACATTTCAGCTGTGCATCCCTAGACCAAAAAGTCAGTGTTGTAAAAACCCACGGCAATAAGTTTGTTTTGAAAGCTTTAGTTATGACTTCAACAGGTATTGCTTTATGCTTTCCTACTGCATCCTCACTTGGAATATTAAGCCAATCAAGAAATTTAAAATAGCAGTAAACTAAGAAGCAAGAGACATGAATAAGAACCTGTTCCCATAACACATGACATATAAAACCTCCTGAAGCCATTAGAATATATCCACCACTGTCAATGCTTTTTCAGTCTGACTTTTCTAGAAGCAGAACTGGCACTTCATATCAGAAACAGGGATGAGTGGCCAAGTTCAGATCTGTATCTGCATTTTTTTTTACAGTTTGTATGCGGCTGAGTGCAAAGTTAAGGTTTCTTCTCTAGCTGCCTCCTGGACCTTACCCAAAGCCTGTCAGAGAAGGGATTTCAGTGGTCTTTGAATCAGGGCATCCTACAGCTCTGCTACTGCCAATGTGCCTCTGGCCATGCAGGAGTGTCATCGGGAAGGGAAGAATGTGTGGAGATCTCAGCACAGAATCACCCTCGCTGCACAGCACCAGTGGCACTGCTTCCATGTGCCACTTTTCTTTGGACCGTCCATCCAGGAGCATGTCTTCCTTATAAATTACAGCACAACTCAGGGTGTGCTAATTATCATCTAAATAGTAGTGTCTTTGATGGCACAGAACAATTTATATTTTGCTATAAACTATTCTAATATGCTGAATCACCAAGCATGGCACTAGAGCAGGATGAAGAACTGTGCAGAAGAGAGATAATTAATAGCTGTTGGAATGTCCTTTTTGGTCTTTACTCTCTGTGGTGTGTTATTTGCTAGAGACTAAAACTGAGCTAGTAACAAGATGTCATGGGACAAAAACCTTTTGGATCAAGTGAAAATATTACATTGTTAAAATCAAAATGGGTCCCTTTTGAGGTTAGAGAGGAATGCGAGTTTCACAATTTCTTTTTTTAACAATCAGCAGACAGCCAGCTAAATCATACTCATAAAATACCACTCCAGTTTGGATCTGTCACAAAAATGAAGCATTTAATTGGTGCTAGAAGTGGCAAAGATAAGCTATTCTCATTCCCACACCAATGGCAGGGGCATCTGTCAGAAAAAAGACTTTTTTGGTAGTTTTCTATGCGCTATAAGGGTGAACTAAACTATAGGTAAAAAGACAAAGCAAGTGACATGACAAAGTAAAAGCTTAAATGATAATTAAGAACCCAAACTCCTCCAAATCCAGCATGAAAAGCAGGTAGCAGAAGCTTGATTTAAGAGAAATACTTTCTCAGCAAGTTCCCCCCCATGTACATATTCTGTTTTACTTCCATATGGAGTCTGTAAAAAAAAAAAAAAAAGTACAATGGTTCACAAAGCTCTATTGTGACCTTTTAAAATAAAACAACCATGCACTGCTACACTTCTGTAAAGGCCACTATTGGAAAAAAAAAATAATATTAGAAAAACTTCCCCTATCACTCAAGCTATGAAGTGTCTGCTGGGGGCTGATAACTTCTTGGGCAAACACACAGCGTATATGTCAGGGCAGCACACCTGGCTGCAGCTGCTTTAGGACAGAAAGTTGTCCAGTGAGAGTCATGTCTGCATGCTTGTGGGCATGCCTGTGGGATGGAGGGGACATTTCCCAAAGAATAAATGCTTGCTGAGCACCTCCTTGCCCCTGCAAGCTAACAGAAGTTAGTTGCCTCACAGCCATCAGTGCCTTTGGAAAACTTCCCTCTCATTCTTTGTCCCAGACACATTGCCCTGGAAGTGTCCTGCTGTCTGTCTACACAAATTAGTCAGTCTCTACATTCTTGTTCTCTATAGGACCTCTGGTGTTGGCTGCAGCAAAACCTTTCTAATATTTCATCTCTGATTATGACTCTCAGCTTTTTAGGGAGGTTTCACTTAGATAAGACACCAACTCAAATAGCACGTACTCCGAAGAGGGATTCATTTTGTCACTTCCATTCAGCTGGCATCACGTTGTTGACTTTTTTGCAAAGTAAAGAAATAGCCATTTTTGTTAGCATAACAGCTGCTTATATTTTCTTTTTCTTTTATGAAGTTTGTTTAAGATAACTTAATGAGTCTATTTTCCTCAGATTCAATTGCCTGGAATTAGTTACTTCATTTTCAATGAAAATAAAATTAGGAAGGTATATAATTAAAAAAGGGACTAATTCTGTCGTCTTTACACTGGCAAAGTTCCCATGAACTTTGATTACTCGCTAGGAATTTTGCCTGAAAAAGCATCATATAATCAAGCACTTCATTGCTGAAGATTATATTAAAGCTAAATGAGCACATACAGAATTTCTGCACGCAGAGTCCAAAAATTAAGTGCAAGACATTCTTAGGTCTTAGCAGTTCTGAGATTTACTGTTCATCATTGTTCCCACTCCAATCCAGGTAAAAGAATTAAGCTGGATACAAATAATTATTTTCTTGATATCCTGAGTCATATGTCTCTTTAGTCAGTTGCTACTATGAATTTAAGGACCTAAGAATAGAAGAAAAGTATTTCATGACCTAAGAATACAAGAAAAATACAAGAGTACAAGAAAAGCCCCACTGAGCTTAATATTTAGTCCCTAACACTAGGGAAGAATACGAACTGGAGCAAGCATGTCAGTGGTACTTGCTGCTGAGGCATCTCTCATGCTGGAAGTTGGTGGCATAGGGACACCTGGATCCAGAAGCAGAGTGCAAATTCCCACATGCTTCCCCTGCGAGGCAAAGATTTGCTGCTAATGGCAATAGTAGCCTGGGGTGGGGTGCTGTGGGACCCCCTCCCTCCCGCCTGCAGCCACCCCGTGCCACCAACACCCAGTAGATGGTCACCCTGGCTCCAAGGGCTCTCCCACACCTCCACAGCTTCACCTGCTCCATCGAACCACACACAGAAACTACCATTTACCCCGTCTCCTTTATGCATTTCAGCTCACTTCTAGAAGTAACCTAAGCTCAGATGTAGATATTTTGGCAGCCAGCTTGAAATATCTGGGACTTAATTTTCAGAGGTGTCAATCTCCCTAGCCTAAGCTGTGTTTCATGGGAGACATTAGACTGTGACATCTCTTCAAAAACAGCTCCTAAGCCTCTGAATTTAGACATTAGAAACAGAGAAACATACAATTCATGAAACTTTCTGAAATTCTTGGAATTTGTTGTTGAATCCAGCTAAAACTGGGCATTTTTAAGAGTGTCTATGTGAATATTTCCCTGGAAGTATGTCTAAAATTGCTGTGAGATATTTTAACTGCAATCCATGGGGAGCTATTGATGGTAATAAAAAATACTGTGAGAAGAAAACAGCAGCAAGTGAAACTGCCCTCTCAGAAAGCCCAGGTCTGCTTTGAAGGAAGTGTTGATATTCACCATAAGCTTCAATCATTTCCCAGAGGGCTGTACAGTGCCTTGTAATGACATAATCAAAAAGTAATGGTGTTCTGGACTTAAAAAAAAAAAAAAGCAGGGCCTGATCCATCTCCCATTGAAATCAAAGAGGATTTTGTTATTGAGTTCAGTGAGAACAGAGTTCTGGACACAATCTGTGTGCAGTTTATTTGCACATTTGCTTATCCGAATGATCCTAACTTTAACCAATAGCATGTCTAGATGTCTGTCTGGAAGTACCTCTATAAAATGCATAAGTGTGAGTTTATAATGTGGTTTAATTCAAATTATTCTGGCATTTTAAAAACATTTCCAGCTACAAAGGACAGCTTTAGCTGATTTCCACCCCGGAATATAGACTTAATTGGTAAAGTCTGTAACTCACATTTCAGGCTGCAATTCATATGCAATTTCATGCAAGCTAAGGACACAGGCAGATTTTGCATTTGTGGGGCTATTTTAAAAATTATTTTACTATTACTATTACTATTATCTTACTCAATTAAAATTTTTCAGCCTTTATTTCAAAATGTGAAAAGCTCTACAAATTACCCAACTCATCAGCTATGGTCCTTGGTTTCCTTGAGGGGAAATTTCTTTGATGACCACAAGAAAATTGCAGTAAATGGCAAGTAAGATTGCCATCACAAGTCTGCTGAAAATGCAGGATGAACTCCTGATTGCTTTAGTCATGTGAACAACCCCTTCAGAACAGCCTGAAGTCAGGCAAGGTGGCTTACACCAGGAGTTAATTTAGCCTGCTGGGACTCTTTGCATTACTAAAATGAGCATGATTTTGGCTTGTAAATGGGGGGTAGAATTTTATTTCACTTTTTGAGGGGCATACATTTATTTTAGAGTAAGCCTTTCAGAATAAAAGTTTACTTCACATTATAGGAAATGACATTCCTCTTTTAGATTTCGCTTTTCAAAGCATGCCTCAGATTTCTAACTTGTAGCAGAGAGCTTTTGTATAAGTAATAAAAGTCTTTAAAATTAAAATGCTAATCGTAAACAAACCCAAATGCATGAAAGATATAGTCTGACTGCATAACAAAAGAGAATTATATAATTCTATTTGAGTGAAATCTTTCATCTTTGATTTACAGGTTTGAGTCTGCCTATAACTGAAACCATATTGTTCCATATCTTTCATATCATGGCCTTCCCCAAAATCTTGTTTTAATTAAGGTTCCTTTCAGATTTCAGAATAAAAAGCATGACAGTCTTCACTTATGGCTTTAATATATCTTCTGAGTTTGGAAAATATATAACAACGAACATCACTTGCATTTAAAAGCCGAGCGAGCCATCAAATACTGCAAGTTGAATACTTCAAGGTATCTCCCAGGGTTCATTAGGTGAGAAAGTTGTAAACAAAATAAAAGTTGCTGTAGCAGAGTTTTGTTCATTTGAAGTAGTCTTACATACATGCCCTATCTCTTTCTCTGATGGTAAGGCAACACGTGTAACAGTTTAAGCGTTCATTATCAGCTAAAGGCACAACTCTATGTTACGTTCTCAAACATGGAATTAAACAGCTAAAGTCACATTGCAGGGAGATCTTGCTGCACTTTGAGGATCTAAAATAAAGCCTAAACCCTTTGAAGCTTCTTAAGCAACATCAGTTCTCTTGGTGCAGGACTACATAAAAGAATCAGTTCATATTCACATGACGACCTGTAAAAAACACCCCCAACACAACCTCCACAAAAACACCTGAGCTCCAAATGAGCTGTACGCAGTTACTGAAGATTGCCGCTCTTAGAGCCAGGACACAGAAACACTTCAGAACAAACTAAAAACACATTTGAAAAGCCATCCATTTTTCAGAGACTACTTGATCTCTGCTGCACATATGGTGAGAGCTACTGTCAGCTACGGAGGGTACAGCACTCTTTTTTAAAGGCAGAAGATCGCTCGTTTTAGAGAACCGTGAATGTGTTTTTATGACAGAAAAGGTTATGTGAAATGGGGAGGGATGGCCGGGAAAAGGGAAAATAAAATAAAGCACCACCAAGCACAGAACTTCGGGGGATTTATAGTACAATAAGAAGTGCTTTCCCTTTAGCTAAAATCCCTCATTGCAATTTACACACGTTTCACTTATTCAGCTAAGAACTCATTACAGGGGGTTAAAATATGGCACGTAAAATAAAGGTGGTGGGTTTTTTTTTCTTTTTTCATTACACAGAGCAGAGAAAACAAATTCTATTAACAATTTAACACAGTATGAAAAAAAATTACCCAGTAAAAAGTGTCAGAAAGTGATTCATGGAGTATACCGAGTATTTTGCTGGCTGTTGCAATTCTCATATCTATAATCTATCATGTAGAATTTTGTAATACTCTATTTCACAATTCATGTTGGTGAGTGGGTCAAACAGCATATAAAAAGCATGCTCTAGGCTCTTTCTATCACGCCCGTTTTACTGTAACTCTAGAATTGTAGCGGTTACATTTAAGGAATCTTTAGGGCCCTTTTAAGTCCATCCAAAGAACAAGTGAAGCTGCTATTCAGTTTTGTGCCCAGTGTTTACGTTCCATCTGATCTGTGCCACCCAAGCAGCAGACAAGACATGTCTGAGGGTGCTTTGGGGGGATACACAATGATGTCACCCACAGGAAATATCAGGGAGGACTTGGCACTTCACAAGGCTGGCTCTTCTTCCATGGGCTCGCCAGCAGCTCTGTAAAAATAAACAGGCAATCAGAATACGGCACAAGAGTACACAATGACATTGTAGATTTTCATGCATAATCAAAGCTGATTTTTCAGCTCTCTCTTATGTTTATTTGTGTTATTCAGTTATCCATAAATAGAGTTTCTTTCCTAGGAAGTATAAACAAATGTCAAGTGGAAAAACATTTTAGATCCAAGCAATCACTGAAAATGTTCCTGTTTATATTAAAATATGTCAGAATATTTTATAACTTTTTGTCCAGAAATGTACATGCTTTGTGTCAACAGTCAAATAATTTCATGAAAAAATAGCTGTGATACTTTTATTTTACAAGCTTTTGCAACTAAAAATACATGCATTTATTTTTTCAAGTGGGCCCATACCATTAAAGCAAAATAGTTCACTAGCAGCCAAGTAGTTAGCAGTGTTTCTTCTGGGGTTCTTCAGTCCTCTGATTTTCGATTCTGTGCTTTCACAAAGGCATTGCCTGCCTGCCTGCCTGCAAATTCTGAGACCAAATTCTGAACTTGATCAGCAGATCACTGTCATAGAGAAGTTATCTATTAATAATATGAAATCAGATAATATATAGATGTTTTATTTGAAAGCCTCTGGGAAATACGCAGTTTGGGCAGGATGAGCTCTTTAAAACAACCAATAAAATAACGGGGATATATGCTGAGCTGGCATTATGTGTCATAATACCTTGTATCTGACAAGCTGCTGTATCTGAGGATTATGCTGGCAATTATAAAATAGAAAACTTCTGAGATCACAGTGAGACCTCACTATTGGAGGGCGTAAAAATTTGGGCATAAACCATTTTTCACCCCAGTCTGGCAGGATAACATATGACAAATGATCTTAAGACCACCTTAAAAATAGTCACTTCAAGCACTTTTGAAATGAGGGGAGAGTAAAAAGTAAATGCAAATTAATAAATGAGACGTTTACCAGTCAAATCTTGTAAGCCAGTATAATAACTGGCTTCAGTAAAACATCCCTCAGAAAGTACAAACTCATGAGATCCCATGGAAAAAAAAAAAAAAAAAAAGTAACTAATGGGGGTTTGCATGGGCTTTGGTAGTTTATTCAGCAAGAAAGCCAGAGAATTTTAAATGAATCTGGAGTTTATTAAAGTCTTTCCCAATGAAAAAATCAGCAGTGATTTAAATGATTTTATACAGGTTACTCCTTTATGATTTGGAATGATCACAGCTAGTATGTTGAAAAATATGTCAGATGAATGATATATGAAAAAGAAGACTTTTGCAGACTAATCACCTCCCAAATGGTTATTGACCCTAAAAGATTATTAATCTATAAATCTCAAATCTTTTGTTCCTTGCCACATGGTGGAGAATGTTTCCTATGTACAGTAAGCACTTCAGCTCCCTCATTCCTGAGAGGCGAGATGAAGCCCTCTTACCTTCCCTCTTTTTCCCCTCCTGCATTGTTCTGGCTCGCAGCAGAGACCGCACAGTGACAGCCAGGGTGGGATGGAGCCCAGCCTGCTGCTGAGGTCCTCAGGTGTGAGAAAGGCTCATGCACCATGTGGGCAATTCATACTGATGGTGTAGGTTGCTGCTGTGCTGACCACAGGCTTCAACTTTCTCCAGCCACTTTCAGAAGACCTGCATGTCCTCTGGCTTAATGCAAAAGTGCAGTAAGCCCTTGTTAAACATCCAGGACCTTATTGGGGCTGTCTGGAAAGAGGATAATTCGGAAGCAGATAACAGTTCAGTTTTTAGGTTCTGCTGTGAGTAAGCGAATGAGAAGAAATAGTTGTCAATAGATTTTGAATGGACATTGGCCAAAGCAGGAAGGAGTGGAGTTCTTGAAAACCTCTGGAAGTGGACGTTTGGGTTATTTATAAGGATCTAGGGAAGCGGTACATGCAACAGTCTGTTCATGTGTATTTGGCTTCTGGGATTGGTATTCTCATAACCATAGTACAATTGAGAGATGATCTTATTCAGGGTTTTAGTCCTGGGTAATTTTTCACTGACAAGGGTGCTTCTGAGTGCCAGGACTGACCTAGAATGTTATATTCTAATATATTCCAATATATTCCAACAGTATGCCAATATTGTGCATCAGCCAGAGCCTAAGCACCAATAGAATTTTTTGTATGCAAGCACCAGATGCAAGGTCCTGTTTGGAAAAGGAGAGGAGGTTGGGGTGCCCTGGCAAATCCAGCTGTTGCCTTTCAGTATGGGTACCCTCACAGCCTTCTCCAGTCTCCTTTGGAAGACTTACGTGTATGCTTTAACTTCATTTTATTATTGTCAGAGAAGTCACTGGATCTATCCAATGGCCTATCATGAAAAACGTATTTTTATGGGACAACAGCTTAGGCCAGAATTTTGTGTGAGAGCTAGTACAGTTTTAGGGTCCTTAGTACAGAGAGTAAAACACTATAGTCCCTTAACACTGAATGGTGAATCAATATATACCCATTCTGCTGAAAACAAAAGTTCTCAAAAAAAAATCGAGGGGGCAGAGTCTGACAGGACAAATTTATGTTACTTCAGTTATGTCACTGTTAGTTACATCAGTTCAGGCAGTCTTCCTGCAGCTGACAAGAAGCTGGCATAAAAACATAAAAGAGGCAAACCCCCTCATCCCACACTGTATGCCCTGACTGGTTCCTCAGAGATGCATCTGTGAGCTCGGGTCTGACCCAGGCTGATTCCATGCTATCAGCAGATTCAGAAAGACACAGATTGGGACTGTAATGATTGTAGAACCACAACTGTGATTTTTCATTAAGGTTTCACTGTGGCTCATTTAAATTGCAAGTTCCCAGGAGCAGAGCCCTCTTGCATTCACTCTATTTTGGTGGGCTGGAAAGAGTGCTCACCTACAGCTCTCTATATGTGGAATTCACACTATGGTAGAATGAAGCAGTCTTTTTGCAGATAACACTAAACAAAATTATTTCATTTAAGCCTTAAAACAAAAGAAATAGATGAGGCAAAAATCCTATCATATGGATAAAATTTGGCAAAATGTGTGACATCCTAAATATTGTCCTCTGAGAGCTGAGAATAAATAACAATCATATTATTTATGAGAACACTATTTAAAATAGTTCATATCTACACTTTAATAAAAAAGTTAGTATTTAAGAATACAGATAAACACTGTACATCATTCAAAAAAGTAAATGTTTCTCTTACCTTACTTTTAAAATCAGAATTACAGATATTCCTCATAGCTACATCATCACACACATAAAAAGAAAAATTCAAGGTATGTTTCCAAGTCAGAAACTGCTGAACAAAAGATAGATTTTCTGGCACGGTATGTCTGTTTTATGCCATAATCTGTTCCTAATTTAACTCATCTGTCTCAGGGAAGATCATTGCAATTGAAAAGTGATCCTCTGGTAGCAGAGAACTGCAGAAAAAGAGGTACATTTCTATACCATGGAGATGATTCGGAGAATGTCTAAAGACGTATAAGAAATCCTGAGTAAGCATATATCCTAGTAAAAATAGACTTTGCATGGATCAAAGAAAAAGGAACTAAAAGTAAGAACCATTATAGCTTAAGAGCAGAATAAGGTAACTATATGTATACTCTTAAAAGAGGAAGTAATGTCCAAATAAGGCTAATTAAATAAACTATAAACTCTGGCAAGTTAAATGTAAGCCCTCAGTGAGGCAGGCCAAAGAAAAGTCTGAAGGGCAACATGTTAAAGGCATAAAAACTAATAATAAAAGGATCTTTCAAAATACATCAGAAGAAATGATCAAAGCATAAAAGAAGCAGCAAGGAAGGTAGACCGCAAAAGCAAAATGAACTATTTATATCTGTGTTCACTAGAGAAGTGTCAGGGAGATTTTATTATTTGCAGATGAACTATCTTAAACTGAATCAGCACTAGAACAAACTGATATATTAAACATTTCCAAACTGCTAAAAGCAGATATTTGTCCACTGAGTTCTAGGGGATTATACAATTATAATGTTGCTAAAGAAATAATTATTGAGCATATTCTACTGCTTAACTCAGCATCCATGCAAGAGGTAAAGATGGTAAGAAATGCAATTCTTCTTTTGGAAACTACAGGAGATGCAGTAAGGCTGTATGGGGGAAACTGAGAGCAGATATAATTGGTGATAGAATTAGCAGACATTCAGGTAATAGTAATTTGGGTGCGAGCTATGTCTTAACACTTACAGAGGAAGCAAGTCTTACAAATATATTAGAAGTTTCTGAAAGAAATGAAGGAAGAAGGATCAAGTGATACCCCTGTGCAAAGAAAGTCTTCCAACAAGTTTATTCAAAAGCTTTGAGCAAACTAGGTTATCAGAGAAGGTCCTCTCATAGATTAACAATCCATCAAAAGTAGAAAACGGATAATAATATTGGTGAATTTTCACCTTGGAGGGATTCTCCAGAGCGTCTCAAAAAGACCTGGCAGACTACCAGTAGATTTAGGTGGTAATGTTTGTTGATGATGCCAAATTAGTGATACTAGACAGTTCTAAAGCCCATGACATCTCAGTAGAAAATAAGGTATACAAACAAAAACTAACACATAATACATAAAACAGGGGGATGACAGCTTTAACTGTTTATACACAGTGATGGCTACGACCGAGAGCCTGGAGTTGGTGGCAGAAGAGCAGAGAGCGACAGAAGCAACGAACAAATCCCCAACATTAAGCTACTGTGTAAATCCACGGTGTGCCCAACACCTGGAGTCCTGCATGCAGTTCTCACTCCATCTCAAAGAAAACTACAAAAGACACAGAGAGGGGCAAGAATCATCAGAGGTAAGAAATTATTTTCATACCAGGAGGAATACAGAGTCTTGAGACAGCTGAAGCTTTTAAAATCAGAAATGGGGCGGAGACTATGAGTAAGAAAAGGGTCGCTTTTATTTCTCGCTATGCAAGTTCCCTAATTAATTTCTCAGTTAATAGATTTAGAGCAGAGAAAAAAGAAGTGCAATGCCTGATGAGGCTGTGGGATTCACCACCTGAGTGCCAAAGGCTTAAGTTGGTTCAAACCAAGCTTTGAAAAGTTTATGCCTGAGTAGGTATCCTGGAGGCTTTTACACAGGATGGGTCAGGTACAGGTGCTGAGATCTCACAACTCAGGAGGGTAAGGCTGGCTCTCAAACTCCTCTGCTGTTGGTTCTCTTCCTTACATACCCACCGCTGGGCGACAAGAGGAAGGTGGGCAAGATAAGGCTGCAGCCTGACCTGGGGAAGCAGTTCTTCAGCTCCTGAGCCCAGCTGTGATTGCAGATCCTGTGGGCTATGGCCAGGAAAGCTGAGGTGGATAACCAAATAGTGAAGCTGTATGAGTTGATACACAGACATGGAAAGTGACCCTAAACTGTGGATAGCTGTACCCCATGATCCAACCAGTTGCTCTAGTATATAATATAATGTATGTAATATAATGCAGTGTGACTGAAACTGCAACTGGTAGCTCTGTAACACTAAGAGTAATATCTAAAAATTACACTTTGTTTCCATTTCCATTTGAGTAGAATCTATGCTCAGCTGACTGAGGGCCATAAAGTCAAATTCTGATAAGTATCATTCTCAAGATTTTCTGTTTACTGTAAAAATAGTAAGTGCAAGAGATCTCCCTCCACACCCTTTTATTTTTCCATTTTAAGAAGAAACATACAGAAGCTCCAACGTATCAGGGACAGCACTGCACTGAATATTTTCACAGCACGATTTCTGAAACGTATGTCTGGCCAAAGCAAAATTCTAATCGGCTAAATCTGCACCTCACATGGGGAATAAGCAGTTATCAACACACAAAAGTTATAGCAGTTAGAAATGTTTTATAGGGCATGCCTGTTCCTTTAATTGCATCTGTATTTAAATCTGTGTTAGCATCATGCATGTTTTCTTTCCTATCCACAAACTCTTTTTTTCTATATCTGTTCTCTTCTGAAGTCTATAATCAAGTTTCAATTGGATCTTAAAATGCAGAGTTGTGCTTTGGTAAAATGAAACACCAAAAGCATAGCAGCTTTTCACGGTTTTCTTCATTTAGCCTGCCAGAGAAAATCAAATGAAAAAATAATCGGCACTGTCATTTGAAGAAAAGAAAGAAAGAGAGAAGAAAGAAAGAGAAATACTTAAGATGGGCCTTAGCCAGGAGCATTTTATCCTTTATTCATCAGTGGTAAATGAGTCAGATATGAGTTGGCCAGGAAAAGAGCTGCTTTACCCAAAATCTGAATTTAAAGTGAGTCATCTCACTCCAAACACAAATATATCCTCCAACATAACTGGCAAGAATTTCCTGCAAAGAGACGCTTGCTGCTGCTCTCTTCATCTGGAGGCCTGACCATCCAAAGCTGAAGTCAACAGGATCTCCACCATCAATTCAGTGAGGCAGGCTGAGATGCAGGCCAGAATTACCAGGCTGGCTGACCATGGTGGGAACTAAGAGAAAGCAAATTGGCTCCTGGCATAATGAAGGCACCCTCCAGGCTGCCCTGTCAGCCACGGCGCTTTCTGCTCTGATCCTGGCCTAGCTATCACAACCAACTTTCCCAAACACACCCTCAACGCAAAGGCTTGCAACAGGTCTTCAGAAGGTGGCTCCCGTCTACCACGGGGGCAGGAGGGGTGCACCTGCAGCAGCCTTAAGAGAGTTTGAGAGCCCAGGTGACTCACATCCCTGCAGCCCTGTCGTCTGCCACAGAAAGGGGCTGGAGAAGGAGATTGCATACTTGGTCCCTACTTACAAGGTAACAAATGCGAAAAAACAAAATGCGCTTTGTGTTGGTATGTTCCCATGAAACGAACAGCATGTTTTTATGAAATGAATGAATGAAATTATACTGTCATGAAACCGGAGTGTGCAATGTTGAATCAGTCCCTGGATTTATGAACCCGTGCTGGACTTTCATTCGTGCTCAGAGTTCAGCCAGGTCCTCTCAGGTCTCCCTGCAGCGCAGAGGACCCTCAAAATCAGACTTTCAGGGTGACCAATTTTGATTTCATATTCCTCTTTACATTCAGCAGGAAGTAAACAAAGCAAATTATGTTCCAAAGCCTCAGAAAACCTATCAGTTTGGCCCAGTGGGACAGCATTTATGTTGTCCTGTCACTCTCAGATGGCAATCTGGGTTCCGGTGACTTCCTTGTGGGTTACAAATGTGGAAATAGACTTAGGAAAGCATGTGTGCATAGGGGGTTTTTGTGCTGCTGAAAAATTTCTGCAGCACCACAGAAGATATTTCAAACAAAGCCGTTTTTCCACAGAACAATTCATCACGACGGATTCGTCCCTATAAGAGTCCAGAACTGATGAAGTGTAATGAATCTGGCAGCCACATGAATTCCACTTGTGTACATTTCAGCACATCCTTTGTTTCCGTTTCTCTCAGCTCCGCCCTGAAATTCTGTTTTCAGAGTGGGTGGAAACTGTCACAGGTTATCAGTAAGTAGGTAATAAATACAATAATTAAGTGCAGCATTAGTCAAAGGGTTATTTTGTTCAAATCACATAGGGTCAGCAGTTGCTCTCAATGGCTGTAGTTTTAAGTGACTGGAAGCACATAGCAAACACAATTCTTGGTTATTCTGAGCAATGTAAAAATACACAAAATTAACCACACCCTTTTTCAGACAATTTCAAGCTTTGCTTTGTTTGACTGCATTAGTTCCGACACTTTAACTACAATTCTTTATATTTCAGAGTTCTGCACACAGGAGAAGGCACCTTCCTGTCCCTGGATAGCAGAAGTGTCTCATAACTGTCACAGATTTACATGACAAACCTTACATTTTTCCTTAGCTGAGAACTGATTAGGAATCTAACAAATCTAGAATGTCTCCAGTTCATTATGGATTCCTCCCTAAGCTTTTATGGATTTGTTTGCAATAATACAAGCACAAAAATAGACTAAGCATATTAAAATATAATTACAATTGGAAAGGTAATTGTGTAAATACTGCAAACTTTACTAGCGAGCTCTGCTTCCAGTGTGTCCCTTTCAGCCATGTCTGTTAACTCCTTGACAGATGAGTGCTCCCACTGTTGTGAGAGACATTCACTCCCAAACGCATCCATAGCTTTTAGCACTGTGCTATTCCCCCAGATGCCTATCAGTTCAGTTCTGATTAAAAGAGCCAACGCAGGAGGCAAGAACTGAATCAAACAAGTAGCTATCATGACGTAGGAGCCATGGATCCTTCTGGCTCCACTCCCACCAACACTCTGCCTACCCACAGCTTCCTCTTTTCTCTCCTGTTTTTACACAGCTCTGCTCCACAGCCTGCAGGGAGCTGATGAGTCTCCTTATAAGGGTTTTTTCTCCTTTCCTCCTCCCTCCCCTGTTTTCTCTGTGTGATGGAAACTGAATGGTTCCACTGCATTTTGGGTCTTCCTGTACTGGTCAAGGCCAGGAAAGTTTCTCCTTAAAACAAGCAAGCAGGAAACTCCAAGAACTTCTGCAGTGGCTTTTCTGATTCCTAACAACTTTGTGAAGAAATACCTTTTTGTAGATGACACAGTTTTCAGTGACTATCAATTGTTTTAATATCTAATTGGCAAAAAACACAACAGCAGTTACTGTATAATTTTCTCAATTTGTGAAACTGAAAGCAATCTTTATTAATGTAAAAAGCAGCTGACAAGCTGGAGAAAAACAGTGTTCTCAGTCTTTGCTGGTGTACCTTCATCTTGGTAGATAGAAAATGTTGGCCCTAATCCTGGTCAGAATTTCTTTAAGTTTTATAGTGGCACTGCTCCATTGCTTTTAGGGATGTAACTTTTAATGTTTGTCTAATATCATTTAATAATGATCTAGGTCCATCCTTATTAATTTTATCTGACAGTGTGTTAAATGCCTTCATAGAAAACTAAAACTAAACCATGTTTGAATAGCTTCCAATGAGAAGAACATGGTTGATTACACTCGATCATGTCTATTTTCCTCATATGGATATTGCACTTTTTATGTAGTAGAGAGCATTAGACATAGGTAGAAAACAAGGTTCTTGTACTAATCATGAACCTTAGAAAAGAATTAGACACGCCAAAAAAATACCTGCTAGCATAGAATACCTCTATTTCCAGTGGCCAAGTGAGAGAATTCAAATCCAGGGATGAAAGATTCCAGGTTCCTCAATTAGCAGATAATTTTGAAACAACCCTTAGTCTATCTGTCTTCTTCATCTCACTTGGCTAGAGTGAAAGCCTTGTCCTCTACAATAATTCCACAGGCTTACCTGCTGCCTTCCTGAGGGATACACTGCTCAACATCCACTGAAAGAGAGGCCATAGCAGATACAGTTTCTGTCTCCTCCCTCTCTCGTTTCTGAGACTCAGCCAGAGCACAATCCACTGGCACAGAGTATGGCTCCACTGACTTCCAGTACTTGCCTAAGGAAAACACACATAATAATTTATGGGAATTTTAGCTAGCACGGTGGTACAAGCATAGTAATCACTTAGTTCAACACTGAGTGATTATAATTTAAAATCACTGTGGTGTAAGCAGTACAGTTGAAATTTCAGACTGCAGTGAAGAGGTATATTTCTGAACATAAGAATGCCAAGTTGGAAAGTGCTTTCATTCCAAGGGCTGTGTCACACCCTTCCCCAGAAGGTAATAAACTGGAGGAGTAACACACAGACTAATGAATGCATACTGTCATACAGGCTATTGACTTTATCTGTGCAAGGTGAAGGGAGTTCAGGGCAGGGTTAATACCTAGAAGCTCTGATATGGCAGACAGTTGATGTATGTACAGCAAATAGGACTAGAAAAATGAACATTGTTGTACAAAGTGCTCACACAGCACTGTCTTGAAAAGGAAAAAAGTCAGAAATGCCAGCTCGGCCTGAAGTGATGTTGCCAGAACAATCACATTTGTTAGTCCTGGATGTTCTTTCCCCTCCAACCTCAGGGCGTATACTAGAACAATAATTTATTTAAAACTTTCATATATGAACTGGCTGTTGCTGGAAAGCCGCCAGATATCATAAGGAATAGAGCTTTCTGCTCTGCTGTGTAAAAACACAGCAGTGGATTAAAAGCATGAGTATTCTCAGCTTTCTGCCTGCAACAGAAGAGACAGCAAGAAGTTTCTCAAGTAACGCAAACAAGAATGGCAGGTGGCTCATAGTCAACATATAAAATGGTCTGCTACTGCAGTGCTATTAAGAAACAGAGCTTGATTAGTGGTAACCAGGTGAACAAGTAAGAATTTACATGTGTATTTCTTACAGTCCAGTAATCCACCGAGAACTCACTAATTGCCAGGTGGATGACACCTGGAAATTAGGAGCTTTGGGAAGGCTGGGAGCTCTGGACCAGAGCTTATTCAGTGTTTAGCAAGAAGCCTCCAGCAGCTGCTGCAGAGGTTGGATCAGGGTACTTATCTGGGAATTAGATGGAGGGTTTCAACAGCTGTGAAAGAGAGGGGATCAAGTAGGGGACTTTTCCGAGGGCTAAAAGGAGGATTTTGGCAGCTGGGCAGCAGGCTGAGTTGAGGTGCTTATCCGGAGGGTGGCTGGAGGCTTTGACAGCTGGGAGGCCAGGCCAGCGATGGTACTGCCTGTGCTGCACAAAGGCTTCTGAAAACTCCGTCTTTGGTAACATAGTTCTCGACACAGTTTCAGGCTTTTCGAAAGATGAACTTTTCCCTCCAGTGAGAAAGCAGCTGTCAATAAAGCCTGAAAATGTCTTTATTCAAAAACATCATTGCAAGATGAAAGCCCAGGACAATCTGAAAGAACAACCAGAGAGCATGGCCAGCATGTTTCTTTGAACTCTAATGGTGTGCACGTTTGAGTAGTTAGCAGAATCTTTAAATAACAGGGACCTTCTGGGGATAAGATGTAAAGTGTATTAAGTATCCTACGAAGTTGCGATTAAGTGTTAGGAGGTTGGCTTTGCTCCAAAAGCATGAAAGACACAGCTAAAGAGTTATGTACATAACAGTAGGCTCAATGATTTGAGCCTGGCAAATTTTATAAAAACAAGACAAAAATATTCTCTATTATTACTGTACTCAGAGACCATATTCTCTATTCATTAAAAAATACACTAAAAACAAACACAAGAGTTATATGAGCATTCCACAATGTTCTCACAGATCATATGTGCAAGAGTCAGTCCTTGCAATATACACCCAATTCAAACCCTATAATTTATGAGCTAAATGTTTGCAGAGTGGGTGGGGTTTTTGTTGCAGAAACAGATGTGCAAGAAAATCAAATCTGTTGGCATGGGAATAATACCCGCTCTTGCCTATAAAAGAAATGAACCCATGTTCACTGTTGGAGTTTTCAAGGGCTCTTATTCATAAAATAAAATATTAGTACCCAGCTACCACTGTGTTGCTCTCCTGCAGCAACAATAAAACAGCATCAGTGAGGATTGCTACATCACATTTGTTCATTCACACACAGGCTCGCACACCAGCTGCCCCCTGAATCCTGACTTTCTTGTAACACTAAAACTCAGGGCCAATTCAACCATATTAATAGGCTCTCTGTGCCCATTTAACTGCCCTTCAATCCCAAGCGATCCGTGATTCTCCTTGTTTCCCTGCACTGAGAATTGAATTATAAGAGGGGCTTCAGTGATAAAGAGGGAGAGAAGAGTTGGGCCAGGGAGCAGGTGGCAGCACCTAGGATGCAGTGGAGGGTCTTGGAGAAGGGGAATGCATGGCAGGGTGTTTGTGGTTGGCGGGAGGAAATTTTAAAGCAGTCCCAATTAGGAATAGCATCCAGGTAGCAGCGGGTACCTTGTGCAAAGAGGACTTTCTGATGTTTGTGAAAAGGTAATGGTAGATTTTTCCCTAAAATCAGAAAGCTGTACCTTACAAACACCCGTGGTAAGAAGAACAGCTTTGAAAGCTTCTTTTTGTAAAGAACAACATTTCTATATTGTGCACAGAACACACAGGGCTTGCATGCGGGCGCTCAACTAAAAGATTTGCAGGCAAAGTCTTGTGGAACAGAGAGGCAATCACAGCATGCAGCTGCAAAGGAGCTTTGGTAGAAACCCTAGGTATGCTGTGGATTGACAATTAAATGAGCTCAAAAAGCATCTGTCTCAAACTGCTCACATCTCTGAAAATGCGATTTCTACTGTTCTATACTGGAATGTGAAATTCTACCGGTCCTGTTACATTCATTGAGAAGAACTTGGTGGAGCTCAGGGGAAAGAATGAAGCATACTGCTGGTTTCATTCATACAAAACTTGAAGAGCAATCACGGCTTGCAAGAACAAACAATGAAACCAAATCAGTCTTCTAGGTATGCTTTGGCTTTCAGCATGAAAATGTGCTTAAGTCTCCCTTAAAGATTTGTGGGAGCACTAATTATTACCAGGAAATAGTAAAAATGAACGTTTCTGTCACTGTTACAGGCACTTGTAATTGACTTTCACATATAGTTTTGGACATGCTGTACCATGGCTTGCTTAAAAAAAAAAGTTTTGGGGGTGGTATTCAAGCTAGTGAACAGGATTGTTTAGAAATAGCATATTACATGGGTGTGGGAACTACTACTTCCAAATGTATTACATTTCCAAAGGAGCTTTGGATCACTGTCACAAACAAAACAGTAATACAAATTCCATTCTAGTTAGAAAAAAGTTGTTTCCTTTCATTGTCTACCTAAATACTATATCTTTTTTTTTTTTTTTTTTTTTTGCAACAGACACAGAGGAGGGACTTTTTTGGTCCAAAATATTGCTAATATTCGTTATCAAAGTCAGATCACAGAAATACAGACTCAATATACATGCAAACAAATCAGGTTTTTTCAGTACCTCTTGAGGTGCCACCCCACAGCCTAATGCTTTTCAGCCTTCCTATAACTTCCTATAATATTCAACATGTACTTGTTTCTCTTAATTCCATCTAAATATGCATCTTCCATAAAACTGCACTAAACTTCTTCAATGCTACTTTCTGTCATCCAAACATATTCCTCTCTAATACTTGGTCTCTCTCCAGACAACATGATGTATGCATAACCTTTCAGGTAATAGTTGCAAGAAAAGAGAGAATATTGTGTATAAAAACATTCAGATCCTAAACAGCCTGACTTAGGTTTCAGAAGAACAGCCCACTGGACTGCTGTGACCGTACCAACTCAGCTCAAACTTAAGCTTGTTCTGAACAAGTGAAATTAAGCCACTCTGCAGAGCTCTGAACTATGTTTTTAGACATACACTATATATTTGTTCCTAAATCCATTCCTTCTTTCTGAATTGCCATAATTTGTGTGTATTTCTAGTAAGACACTGTGTCTTCCTGGAGCCAGTATTGATTTTTTTTTTTCCTCAGTTCACCCTTTTTTTTTAATTTCAGATCCATTTTTATTAAATACCTGTCTTATTTCAAACAGAATCACATATTCTTTCTTCATGTCTGTGCCCTTTGTGCAACCTTCTGTCCTTATCATCATTTGTAAATCTGCTCTATCTTGCATAGTAGGCAAATTTCCTTAGTTTACTAATTGCTTCCAGATCATTAACAGGGAATCTTAAGAAAGATGCTAACTCATGAGCTAACATAGGACTTACTATCCAGCAGAAATGACTTTTTGGAATTTATCATATACAGCTGATTTACTTAGAGCATTTGCATATCTGGGTGACTACTGGATATGAAGGATGAATTATATACCTACAATGAATTTTAATTGTCCCTTTGCAGCTAAAATCAGATTGATAATTACTGCATGATCACTAGATAACACATGGTGTCCCTTTTAAAAACTGCATTTATTTTATACAGATGGATCCCAATTATTTGTGATTCATCTAACATGAAGCAAAACATTTGTTATCCATTTGTTAAGGAGCCAGCAAACAGTACAAGTCAGGAAGCTCCCACTGCCTTGGTAAAATGGCAGAGAACAGAAGATTAGAGAATTTAAGGGCAGTCTGCTCAGCTGGATTAAGGTAACTGATGGAGAAGAAAAAATTTTTCAGGTGAGACCAGAGCAAATGGCCTAAAGTGTCTGGGTAATAAAGGGTTAGGATCGGGGCACATGAATTAATCAAGTACCCTCTGCCCCACAAACAGAATAAAATCATGCAATTGTTAGCATTGTTCGATGTATCAATGCTGATTTTGAGCTCTTAACTTTATCTCAAGCTCCTATACATCTCAAATCAAGTAACTTGTAAAGGGCTGCACAAACAGAATCTGAAGAAACTGTTTGTTAGAGCTCTAATTTACCTGCCTGTTCCTGTCCCTCACTGACAAACATCTATTTCACCCAAGCTACTCCAGAATGGAAAGATTTGGGAATATTCAGGAATCATAAAGCTCTAAATAATTTCAGTGGATTAGTTTTCCAGGGCTAAATACATAGCAGAAACAAAGAGATGTCAAAGAAACAAAAAATAAAAGCATATATATATATATATATATATTAGACACAGCATGCTCATTTATACATAAAACATTTGCCCACTCTTTTTTCCAAAGCAATAGTTTAATGTCTGTGACATTAATTAATAATAAAAAAATATCCCAAACCCACCGACCCAAACTGGGAAACATACTTTGAATTTCAGTGGTCTTTTTTAAAGAGGCTATTGCATTCATATTGGGGATTTGGTGCACAATATCTTCCGGGAGAGGCTCCAGCTGCAAGAATAGAATAGAATAATATAAATTTTCAATAAGCCACAGGGAAGTAAAACAAACTGAAACAATGTAATCCTCAGGAAAAGCTCAGCCCAAGAACTGGTTAACATTTTGCTGGTATCAGTTCTAAAAGTATAGCCACGATTTTGTTTTCTGTTTTCCAGCCATGTAATTGAATTCCAAGGGGCTTTTCTATTGGCTGCAAGACTAATCTATGGAGTCTCTGAAGCAGGTGCATGTCTGTGTATTATTCATTAAAAAAATGCTAGTTATTTGTGTAATTTTTGTAGGTTCCTCACAAACCAAATTCCACAGTGTCTGTATACGCAGCTGGGCACTCCGAGCAAAACCTTGCTGAAGCCACACTGGAACCGAAGTGTGCGCTCTATTATCTTTATTTTTCTGGTGTTATTACATCTAAACATCTTACACATTTTAAGATTTATAGGGGAAAGCCATAAAACACAGCTGCTTTTACTAGCTTTGTATTATTTTCAAATAAAGTAGTAGATAAAAAACAGTTATGCAGATCAGCAGTAAGAGTTCTCTAAGTTTTTTTATAGAGTTGGCTTCATTTTAATTAGTCAGTTTTAACTGTATATTCTGTGAGTAGGACTGCATCCTAGTAAATTAGCAGATGGAAGTGTTCAGTCACTGCACAGTTATTTTTGCCCTGCAACGGATGCATATACCAAAAAAACTGTACTTTGAGATTCATTCACATGTGCTTTTTTGTCCCCCTATCATACATTTCCTCCTAGAAAAAGGGTAAAAGACTGTTGGGGCTAAATGACTCTTCTCATACCGTAATAACTATATTCTTCTTGAACTATGCTTAGAGTCCAGGCAGTTTTTCCGCTTCCCCGCACCCTGACAAGGTGGGCAAGGACGAGCGATATCAATACCAATCTCTCCCCTCTGAAGCGAAGGAAGGTCGACCACCATTGACAAGAGACATCTGTACTTCAGACAGAAATCCTTTCTTAAGCATGCCTGAGTCTCCTTTAAACTAGGTCAAGAGAAGCCCACCCAAGGAGCTTCCTCTGTGAAGTTAATAGTTCAGTAGCCATCATATATTGTCCTCTGGGTTGCTACCGCTGCACTGCTACCCACCAACTAGATAAAATCAGCTTTGATCCAAGTACACAAAGTGGGAAGTGACTGCAGTGTAGATACTCCCTTAGTGGTGCTATTTTAAGCAAGCTCGGCTACAAATCCCAGAACTTCTGGGATCCTACCATTACAGTCAGCAGTGAATGCCTGTTAGCGATAAAGACATTGCAAACATCACCAGTCCTTTGGAGTCCTGGCAACTAAAATGAATAAGGCTGTTCATGTCATTATTTCCTTAGAATCCCATATGGGATTGCAGCTGGAAGATTTCCTTGTGGCTAGAAACAATAGCACTATGTTTTGTTTTCAAATAGCATAAATCACTCCATTCCGTGCAGTGAGCAAGCGTGCAGTGAAGTGCTGGTAGGACCTGACTGGGTCCCAACTCTACTTCGTTACCAAGGAGGCCAAACTGTAAAGGAAGATTGTTGATATCTAATATGTATCATGCATTAGAATAAAGAGAGCAGTTACAACAAAAATAATTTTTACAGATACCTTTGCAATTCTTAAACCACACGTACTTAGCGATCTGCATAGGTTACTCTGATAACTTCTGCAGGTACTTGGAGCAAAACTGCGTACTTATGAAAGTGCCCACCAACAGATTAAGCTTCACAGATTTTAGAACAATAATCCATATAATAATCATAATTATTGGGGTTATGTAGATAAATAGCACTCGCTTTTATCACTTGTTATTTTCCGTTTAAAATAATCTTTCATTTGGCCAGGAAGAGGGAAAAATCCTGAAGTTCTCTTTGGTCATACTGGGTGCAGGAACACAGACGGGGAAGCAAAGAGCAGTTTAAGGTTCTGTTTTGACAATTTCCTAATTCCTAAGACTCTGATGACCAATTTACTCCCCTGAAGTAGGACAAAACAGCTCCAGGTTATAACAGTAGGAGTAATAGTACCAGGTATGGAATTGCCAGACTGCAAGATGTGAGAGCTATGTCTTGCTTTGCTCTTTGAGTACCCTGAGGTTCTTTCTGCAGACCTCTTGTACTAATTATTCGGCTGGGAGCAACTGACGTAGAGATAGATAGAGGAGATTTCCTGTGAAAAGGTAAATATTTTGTTGCCTTCTTCACAGCTGGATTTTTGTAGGAGTCAAAAAAATGTCCCGATTTTTCCTAATATATCAGTGACACCTCTATATTTATCAGAAATCATTTTTTTAACAAGTAGGCTGCATTTGAACATATACATATATTTGAACATAGACATATCGGATTAATATTTAGAAATAGCATATGCGTTTTTAGAAATCAGGATAAGCTGATAAATCATTAAAGAAAAGATGAAAAAGGATCAAACATTCAACAATTATCCCAATCATTATTCCATCTGTTAGTTCTACTAACAGATCTGTAGGTGATGTGAGTATAATAGTCATGTCTAATCATTTCCTTAACTTTTTTCCACAAAACTTAGATTTCATATACCAAGCACAGCTTCTGCTCTGGAGATATTCTGCCTCCTCACCCTTCAGGATAGCCAGATAGACCTTGGAACCTCTTCCATATCAGGGAAACTTTATCAGGCTCCACAAGTTCATTACATCATATACCCTGCTCAGCCCAAAATGCAGTACCGTTACAAAAACATTCTAGAAATAAAGCCAGTGGGCTATAGCAGCTATTTCTATATACTCTGAAATGAGACTGTCTGCATTCAAAAGAATTATTTCTGTTGGCAGCTATCCACTGGTTGGATATAACTGTATAGACATAGGGGTGTCCCTGGAAAATATCAGCAGTTAGACCCAACAGTGAACAAAAGAAATTACTCTACACCTGGCATATATGGCACATCACCTTCCCTCCTACACTTATTGGCATTCAGATCATGAAGTCTATTAAGTCTGGGGGCTAACAGAAAGGAAGCTGAAAAGAGCACTGGATATACACTGTCAGGAAAGAAATCTTACAGAGAAGAACAGCTCAAGTCTGCAGAAATAACCAAACCACTGGAGAGACAGTTTGGACCAGACACAAAGGGTCACATTTTCAAAGCTTTTACATGGCTGAATTGGACTTTTGTGCCCAAAGTAGCAGATGAAAGTAGAAACTGTGTCCGCTAATCATTTTTAAAGTAGGAAAAACAATGTAAATGGGCAAAAATCACTTGGGCTGCCAAAGTCCACCAGAGGCATATCAACAAATGTTTGAAGAAGGAATTAACGATGGAAATTTCATGTGCCCAGAAAGTGATCTGAATTGATCACTGGGAACGTGGAGAGAGTCTGAAATTACAACAGTCTGTACTGAGCTGGAAATTCTAGCAATATCTGCACTGTCTTTAGCAATGTCTTGTTTTAAAGCACCAAGTTTAGCTTCAGTGAAGATTGTTGCAGAGTGTAGCTAAAGATAACTGACAAGTGAAGCAATTGTTAGCACAAGGTAAGGAGCATGGAGAGTTCTGACAGAAACAGAGGAAGGGGAGAAGGCAGGCAGGCTCCTCGGGGATGCCTAGGCTGCAGGAGGAAGCATTACAATGTCCCTTTCCTGGATACACAGTGCAAGAAGCATATCAGCACTAAGACTGGGCTTTGCTCCTCTTAGGGTTGCCTATGATTACAGTGGACTAAGTTCAAAGATCTCTCCAGTCCTATGTGTTCTTATATTAGCAATCTTCTCAAAGTTTCTGCAGTTTCTGTTTATATTTAAGCACTTGAGGCAGGTATTTTTGTGATCCACTGTTACAAAGTGGTACATAAGCGAGTCAGATTTAAGTAGGGAATAGGTTCAAAGGCACAAAGGGTCATTAGCACCTACCAATCCCCAAAAAACGAGGGATGCCTTGGAATTATGTAACTTTGGAATCAGAATATTCTCTGTTTCCTTAGCCAAACCACTTCCTGACTAACACTGCACACCCTGGGGACTTTGATATCACCATATTGACCTCTGGCAAATACTTTGCTCCAGTTTCCTAGCCTATCTAATTCTCTGTTTCTGGGCCAACTTCTGGACTCTGGGTTTATGCAAGCAGCAGTTGACAGGTGGCTTAGACTCAGTGTTAATTATTTTCTAGTATTAGACTCAAATTAACAATGAGGATATGAGATTGTGACCAAGTTTACCATGCAATTTAAAATTGATCTTAGGCCATATTCACTTCCATTAATATTTCCATTTTGGAGAGAGAAATGCTTACCTGTTCTGGTAAATAACCCCTTTTAACGCAGTCCAGGCCCTCTTGGCAGAGCTCACTGCCTAGCTGGCAAACAGCCCCAGATTCACACTGAATTCCACGAAGGAGAAAATGCCAACTTTTCATCATCAGCAGGAAAGCTGCAGAGTATGAGCTTTCCATTTAAATTACCATCCCCTCCTAAATGCCAGCTCAACAGATTGCAAGAAAGAAGCACATACTTCACACTCTGCAAGAAAATTGTCCAGTATAAGTTTTCAAGCATGCTTGGGAGCCAACCAATCACAATGTTTTGTCAAATTCTGCTTCAGACTGAAATTCAAGCCAGAAGAATATTTACTAGAAGATGTTAAATTTAGTCACTTGAAAATGTTTTTGCACTTAGGGCCAAATTCAGCCTTGGCCGCCACAGTCAATGAAAGCAGACATGCATCCTCTCTTTGCCTTTGTTGCAGGGTCCCGCTGGGCAGAGCACACTGTGGACTTCACTTCTCTGTTTCCTCTATGTAAAGAAGAGCATGACCCCATCTGTGACTAATTATCACTTGTTAGAGACCATGGCAAACTGCTGTACCACGCAGAGCTGAGACACTGCCCAAACCTGCAGACAGATCACAGGGACCATGATGTTAGACTGACTTCTATGTCCCATGAAAATATCCCACCTGGATGCTTGAAAAGGGATAGGATGAAGGAAGAACTAAATCCTCAGGTTTTGACTCAAAGAGTTTTGTGCTTGAAGAAATCCCTCCTTACTCTCTCTGGCTGCAGAAGAACCCCCAACTGAACACAGTTATGTTGGAAATGAGCTACAGGATTTAGGATGCTGTAGTCAAGGAAAGGTTATCCCTGAGGGCTTTTTAAATCCAAGTAGTGCCTCTTCAAAATTAATGTGGAGGAAGGAAACCAGAACCTATCCTTGCACGTATGAAGCAGCCTTACTCACCACCATCTGGCACCAAAAGGCATAGCACAGGTCCTTATAGCACCAAAGCTAGGACAGACAAGATAATGGGGAATTTCCATACTCCGTGACAAAGATTTTGGGGAAAAAAATCTCAATATTCAACCCAATTTTCACACACTTCTTGGAATAACATTCAAATCTTAACATTTAATGGTTTTCTTAATTGAAGTAATATATATATATATAGCTGTATATGCTTTAAAAATAAGTATTTGAGTCTATAAAACCAGTCTGTGAAAAACTGTAGAATCATCGAAAAAGTATTGCAATAATGAAAGATTGATTTTTAAGCACAAAAGTATATCATCATCTCAGAAATGCTTAGGTTTAAAAGCAATGCCTCTTTTCTAATTATCTGAATCCATAATTTCCTTTGTTTTGACAGATGCTCTTTTAACAGGCAAGTTCTCAAATCAAGTTGAGAAAATTCAGAGACATTTTAAAGCAACTGATGCTCATCCTGACTTTTTATCTTCCAGAAGGTTTTCCATGTTTTCATTTTGGATTTCAATGGAATCCAGCTGCTTAATCTCTTCTCACCTCTTAGAAAGATTTCATTCCAAAGAGATAACCTACAGTGCTCCTAATTAGCTCTGCAAATGGTCAAATGGATTCTTCTCAAAGTGACATGGAAAATTTCTGCTTGTACACAGAAGCATGGAGAAGAAAACGTAAGTTGTTGAAATCTTATTTTTAAAAGTAATTTTCTATGTAAACTTTCTAATTAATAATTTTATCTTTATAAAATTTATCCTTACCTTTACTTATATAATTTCCTTTTTAGTTTTCTCATCATTTAAGGAGGGATTCACACAATCAAATCAGACTGAGCCATTTCAGATAATATAGGGTGTCTCGCCTGATTTCTAAATGCCACTCAGAAAGGGTGTGGATATCCTCTAAGATCTGTGTTAGATTACCAGTCCTGTGCTGATGTACTGGATACCCTGAGGTATCTAAAAAGGCACTAGGCACTTCTGTTTAGGGAACTGGGTCTTAGAAAGAAACAATTAACAATGTAAGTACCTCCAATCAAAGAGAACCAACAATTATAATCTCATTTGTGTTTCTGTCAAAATTTGAAATTATTGTTCAAAAGTGTTTCTTCAGTGAAGTTCAGAAGTATTGACCACGCATAGGTGGGACTGATAGCTCATTTAAATTCTGAGCTCTTCTAAGAAAGAGACCTTTACAATATTTTTTTTGGTTAGTCTTCAAAATCAACAACTGTATGCAAGAATTTCCTGTGCCATGATCAAATTATTTAAAGAAGATTAATTTGATAGTGTATTCTTTTCCTAATGGCTCCATTTTCATTTGTTAAGAGAAGAGTAAAAAGTTATCTTGCTAAACAGATGCATACATAAATAACTAAGAGCAAAATATATCTATTTTGGGTGTCAACCTGTTTTCCTTCATGGTGTTCAGAGACAAATTAAGAAAAGAAAGCATTTTTAACTTGTAAGTTTGATGTTACCTCTATATATCAGACCAGGTCTCCATGAAAGTTGGAAGTTGTGGCTAATTTTACAACTATTCCTTTTTTTTTTAAATGTTATTCTGCTGGTAATAGAACATATGAAGCAGTGAATTTCTGCATTGACAAGTCCTGGCCAAAAACAACAACAGAAAAGAAAAAGTTTTCAAAAAAACATGAAAAATGTTTATGAATTCTAATCCTCAGCACATGAATAAATGCATCTGACAAACTGCAGAGTACCTTATGAAGGTCTTTCTCAACCTTTCTAATTTGAGCTCAATTACATGTGTAGTGTTTAGAAACTGAAGTTCATCTTGCCAGTATTTTTAAGCTAGAGTTGCACTACATGCCATTATTTGGAAAAGTGAAAGGCAGATAATAAGTTATAATTATCCTATTAATCACCTATAAAGAATTGCACTCAAGGAAGAATGCATCCTCAAATTACAGTAATTGGTTATTTGAAGGAAAACATTTTTTTTCTGAGCTTGGCAAGAACATACTTGGAGTTTTCTGTGCAAATTCACAAATATTATGCTGAAATCAAGCAGTGTATAAGCTACGGGCCATGTGGTGTAGATTGCCATAAATCTATAGATGTCAACAGACGTGCTGATTTCTAACTGCTAACTAGGTATCAGACTTCCTCATTAGTGTCTGCTCCTCAGCAACACCTTTACTTATTCTTTTAAGCAAACACCCATTTCTTATGGTAGTGTTGGTAACAACATTCTCTCTGGAGTATTTTTCTCTTCTTAGCAGTCACAGCATAATTTCTCTCTGAAATTCTGCTGCACCAGACCATCTAATGCACGTCCCTGAAGACAAAGATGTGAGTAAGAGCACATGAAAATAATGCTTATTGCATGAGGTGTTTCAAGTTATTACTGATCATGTTCTTCTACAAGTGATTTAAAAACGGCTGCATGGTTGTGTTTGTCTTCATTCCCAGTTATTGAATTTTTGTCTCTCCTGATATATGCTTTACTATATTTTGCAAACAGATAGACTCACAATTTATCTAATTTCTTGGTTTCCAGTTACTCTAAAATAAAATGGAATAAAGTCTTTATTCCAGTACACTATTCCTATTAATTTTTCTCACAATCGGTATTTTTTCTCAGATAATGGTTAGTCAGTGACAGCAGAAATAGTAGTTGGGTGTGATATAGTGTTAAAACAAGCCAAGGCTGTTTTCATAAATGGGTAGCACCACCAAATGGTCATAACTGGATAGAGGGACCCGGGCACCTACACAGAGGAAGGAAGACTCATCACACCATCAGCATTGTACCATTTGCATTAGTCCCACAGGGGTACAAATTTCAGAGAGTGGGTTTAGAAAGCCTATGAGAAGCCACAGGGAAGATGACATCAGAGAATAGCAGTGAGAGTGCCCTGGAACGGCAGTTGATCAGGAGGGCAATGCTGCATTCACTAAGATTGTCAAATTCCCCAAGCACAGTTTTGTAATCTACATTTCACCACCTAAATAAAAGGACCAACATTGAGCTGAGGATCTTTTTCAATAGTGCATTTCACTACACTGGAAAACTCTCCTCATGGGATTTGTCAAAGGTGATAGTGGATAAAACTCAATAAAAGCTTTTTTTTTTTTTTGGACATGTCTACTTTACATTTCTGAGAATATATTTGAAAGAACTATCGCTTTATTTGTTGCATGTATAATGTAAAAAATAATAAGCATTAAAATAATTTTCTCAGTGGATCATAAAGATGAAAAGCAAAGGTTTAAAAGAACATTTAGAAAATCTTTCTATCCAGTATCCATCAGGAGACACATTACTTCACATTATTTATATAGGTATGAAGTCTTGAAGTAGAAAGGAACTGGTGGACTAGCTTGAAATTTGGCACTAATACATTTGATTGGTAAGATTATATAGCTGTTACCACTTCCCCTGGGGAAAAAAAAAAAGTAACATACTGTGCTTTAAAACAAGATCTTGCAAAATTCAGAATTTTTTGGCTACACCTTCAGCAAGCTTATTTTCCTTCTTACCATATTATAGGAGAAAATTATATTTTCTAGTGGACAGCAGAACAATTTTTACTAATATGAATGATTATCTTGTGTTTGTGTACATACATAGCACGTACTGATATTTACTGATAGTCTGATAGCCCACTCTCAAAATTTTTAAATAATATATACAGTGTTTGATAAATCTGGGATACTCCATTTAAATTACATACCAAACAACCTGAATTTTCATTTATAAATACAAAAAACAAACAAACATTTTTGAAGTCTTGGACACATTTTTATTATTGTTCAATTTCAAAAGCCTCTGAAATATTTTCTTTCACATGCCAGTTGAAGTGTCAAAATACTGCAAAAAATGTGCCTTTGCAATATCCAGCCTATAAGATTACTAGATATCTTGCAAAAGCCATTTTTTTTTTCCATATTAGTTGGCTGGAAGGTCTGATCCCAGTAGATGATATGCACATCGATAACTACCAATAATGTCAAGTCTGGTATTCCACACAATATGACCAAAAGCAATTTTAAGGTATTAAATCTTATTCAGAACTGGCAATAATTTAGGCAAATGCTAAAGGATTTATATAGTCATCTAATTTAGAGGTATTTATCTAAACCAGCTCATCTGAGGTCTGTTCATTTCTAAGACATGTTTAAATTGCGTGTTTTTCGTACCAAATGAAAAAACGGACTGATGCCATTGTTACTAAAAGAAAATCAAAGACAGGAGTTTCAGCAAACTTGGATCATTCTCTCCACCTATTATGATTTATGTTTTACCTCATTTCCTAAAAGGGCGTTTATACAGGCTTCAGATGCATCACAGATGGCAGTAAGGTCATGTCCTCCCTCCAGTGCCAGCACAACACGGCCATCCGCTAGCTTCAGCAATTGCTTGGTTAGGTGACCAAAACCTAGTATTCAAATACAGTATTGCAAATAATTAAAGCAGAATAGATATTACTGGCATATTTCACATCTGCTGCATAAGAATATAGAAATCTCACGGATATTGCGCAGGGAACATGGGATATATTTAGTCCAGTATCTTGTTTCTGACTATGGCCCACACCAGATGCTTTGGAGTTAAGTATATGGAATTTTGTATGAGGCAGATGTGAGATAATGTTGCTCATGCTGATCCTTAATTGCTGGAGATTAGCTGAAACTTGAGGTTGTCTCTTTTCTTACCATTGTTAACCATTATCACCCTGGATTTTCTTCCTATTTGTACATCAATGTAACATATACCCATGTTATTTACAGAGATCTTACATAATCCTGGTCACTTATGGCATCAATATGACAAATAATATTTGTATTTAAACTGTGGTGATATAATTAAAAATAATTGTATTTTTCAACTGAGATGATGAAATTTGTATTTACAAATTGCTTCTTCCTTGTATTTGGGGTTTGAGTATAATATACAACCATGGACTGAAAAGCAGTAGAAACATATGTTACCTCTTAGCTCCATTTTGAAGTGTTTCTGGAAGCAGTACTAACAATTAGATCATTTACTTTGATTCAGTGTTTTGGTATAAGTTGAAACTGTCCAGAACTTCGTAGAGATCTGTACCAGTATCGCTCATTCCTGACCAACAGTGTTCTAAGCAATTCTGCACCACAGCCAAAAATTATGGTACTTCATTTTATGTGGTGGTCTATAACTAGATAAACACTACAACAAAGTTTTCATCTGTGCCTCAAATAAAATTATTTAATTTTAACAACAAGAAAAATGGCATGAAAAAATGTTAATTTGGAGAGAAGATTTTGGAGAGAAGTTTTGTGGTAGTTTCCTAGGATGGCTATTGTTTTTGATTATTCTCCTTTAAGTGAGTAGTGATAAGTAAAGTTTTGAAACAACTGAAGTTAAATACACATCACATCTTGTTCTTAACTTTTCCACTCGGTCTGTTCTAGTTGCTCTACTGATGGTCATCACTACTCATTCCAGTGCAGTTCATAGCCTTAAATAAAGCATTTAGAAGGTACCTCCTAAAATCTGAGGCTCTATAAAGACAGGAAAAATCAACATCTTTTTACTATGTTCCAATGAAAAAGGTAATCAAAAATTAAAAACTACAAAAATTACAAGCATATTTTCTAGAGAAATATTCCAAGACACATTGCTTTTATCTGGCAAACAAGCAATCTCACAATTAGTTCTGTTCACTTATCTTAGGACTTTCTTAAGCACATGCCCAACTGTTTATAGAACAGGTAATTTAATGATACCAGATTTGGTTTAGCTGTATAGACAAAAAAATAATACCCACCAAAAAAAACCCTCTACTTGTCACTTAATCTATAGATGATCACAGAACACTTGAGGTAAAATATTGTTTTCTTGAGCCACTTCATAATCTTCTGTACCCTCTAAGAAATGCAGTTTTGATTCTAGCAAAGTAACTACACTGTGGTTCAAATTACATACAGGGTTGAAAAACAAATAAAACCTTAAACTCTCATTTAAGCTCAACCTTTCCTCATGAAAAAAACCACCCACCCAATCCACTCTACAAAAGTCCAAATTTAGACAGGATAATAAAAGTGAAGGAAGGAGTGGAATGAGGATAACCTTTGATCTTTAGCCAATTTCTACTTTCTTTTACCTACAGGATTTATTTCTGTCTGCATGTTACATGTGAGATCTTCAGATTCATAAGAGAGTGCCAACTGCATAAAGTGAGTTGTACATACAGCATTTAAAGGAAATGAAGAATGAACAGGCACAGACTCCCCACATCTACAGCTCACCCTTTGGGTCTGTGAGAAATCCAACAGCACTTTTAGAGACAACATTATCCTTTGTGTTATACAGCTTCTGTAAAGAAGGGAAAACTCTACCATGTTTCCCCTGCACACTTTGAAAATTTTGTATGACCGCAAATATTGCTACTGCCACATCGTAATTTTCTGAGGTATGTATGGCAATAAATGTAAAGACTCTGGCAATGACTTTTTCTCATTTTAGGCAACCATGCATAATATAACTCATAGACATTGTTACAATGTTAGTTTGTCTGCTTGGTTTCCTAATGATTTTCCTAGTATCAATGTTATAATAATCATCCCTGGCTGAATCAGGATTCAATGAGCCATGCAGAAAGCATCTTTCCCAACAGAGATCACAGTAACAAGATAAAGTGCTGCCAAATCAAATCAACATGATGGGGGCTTTTCTTCAGTGCAATTATCCTGAGAAAGTAAAGGTGACTTGCTAGAAGGGGAGGAAATAACTTTAGCCAACAATACCAACATTGCCAGTGACTGAATGAGTTATGGAAATTCTTAACAAAGAAACTTGGATCCAGTGTCACTGCAGCAACCTAGGAAAGACATTAGCTTCCTCAAGGAAATCCCCTGGAGTGCAGAAGTAACAAAATGGAAAGAAAGGAATCCCAGTCAAGTAATGGTTTTAAGATGGGCTGTAGTTCATGCCAAATAATTAAGAAAAACAAGAAGAAAATAGTAACAAGCACCATGAAAAGAATCAGTCATCTCCCCTGATATAAGGAGATCAAGCACATATTTGACTCCCCACTGACCGACTTTAAGGGAAGAAAGGAGTCAGACAAGCATTTTGAATCCTGGATCTTCCAACTCACATCAGTTTCTAGAAATCAGCAGCGGTTCTTGGCCCTTCTACTGTGCCTGATGAAAAAGGTGCCAGCTGTGATACTGGCTTTAAAAGATGTTTTCAGTTTGGATTTGCCATATTCTAAACCTGTATGCTTTTTCAGTGGTGCATAACAGTTATAGATTAATGGCATTTCGTAGAAATAAAAAAAGCTGAGTTATAAAATTGAAAGTCATGTTAAAACATCAGTGCTTAATTTTCAGTCCAGCCTTAAATGGGCATTACTTTTCTGAGGCTGCAGGTGCCTTCAGGCCATTTATAGTTTGAGTACCTGACTCAATGACAGGCATCTATTAATCAGGGCTTAAAACAGCATTGGAAGTATCCACAATTATTTGTGTCCATAAACACAAGTAAAAATGTCACATATTAATAATAAAAAAAATGCATTAGTATTTAAAAATCCAATAATTTCAGTCAATAAGTGAGAAAAGATTATGCACACAGGGGTATTTCTCAAATCTTCTTGTAAGCGTTCTGAGTGAATTTGTACTTCAGAGAAGTAGCAGCATTTTTTAAAATAAGGCTCATGCAGTGCGCCAGGAAATTCTGAGCATGGTTTTGTGCCAACTATTATTTTAATAATTTCTGTAATTTAAATGTTAAAAGTACCTGTTTCCTTCACAGAACCAATATTTAGACATCTAGGGTAGAATTGGCAAAAGCACTTAATATTCATTTGCTATGAGCCTATTAAAGACAATGATAAACACTCGATTTACACAAGAAACAACATTAAACCATTACTAAGTAGTTCTGAAAATCCTACTCACCAATTGGTCTACATTTTCCTGACAAAAAAGCCTGTGGGTGCACAATTGTATATCTAAGCAGAAAATACTAGATTAAAACTGAAACCATTATAAACCATGCTATGTATTGGTGAAATATGCAGTATATGTGCTGTTTTTTGCCAACCTTTGAAGTAAAAATATAACATGTATTTTTTAATTATACCCTTTCCCCTCCTCCAGTGCTATTAGTGGAGGAGATACAATATTCAGCCTTATGTAAGAAAATATTCTGTTGTGGGAAGGCAGAAAGAGATAAAATTAATACTGTAATAGTAATGAGCAAGCTTCCAGGCTGTTACTGAAGGGCACAGTGTACTGATCACTTGAATTACCATCTAAGCAAATAATTCAGCTTTTAGTGGACTGATGTCCCAGTAAGAGCCCTGGTTTTTTTTACTTTTGTAACAGACAAGTTCCCCATGTACTCCTCCTAGTTCTGCCAAACAACAAGGAATGACATAGGTGAGGCTTCTGCCTCATTTGACCAAAGTTTCTGGAACAATTATGCTCTATCTGGAGTTGCTGAAATCAAGAAAAAATGTTAAACCCTATAAAAAGAGAATCCATAATTATTTCTATTTTTGTTTTTGATATATCCTTACTCTGACGAGCTGAAACAGAAAGTGGCAAACAGAGAGCAGGTAAAACACCTCTTAACCTGGACCTCCAATGCACTGATTACACAACTCTGTTGTGTATTATGGCTAGAAAAAATAAAGCTAACAAGTCAGAGTTTGTATGTACAGCCTTTCATTTTGAGAAAGAAACATTTGAGAACTAAGAAAATTTGTGAATGCCATTCTTTTCACATCCTTTCCACAGCAGACAGGGAAAGGAACCATATGGATGGGGTACACTCCCAGACAGCACCACAGCACTCCTTGTTTGCATAGTCATATAAGCAACCCAATTTGCTCGCCAGCAAATGTGCAAACACCCAGTTAGTGGGGAATAAACCTGCCTCAGCAGAAGACAGAGCCCTTCCCTCTCCCCCACTGTGCATAAGGAGAGCAGATGTCTCCTGCACAGTCATTTTTTTGGGTGACAACAGGCTGCGCAGAGCCGTGGCGCTGGCCCTTGCTCAGGGAGGGCAGCTGGTAAAGGAACAAGGACACGTCAACAACCGAAAGGCTGGCGAAACTTTGGAGTTAGGGAGAAAGCCTTAGCTTTCTCAGCCTCTGCAGTGGGGCCCCAACAGCTCTTTCAGCTTCAGCATCTTAAAAGCTACAATCTGACCCTAAATTACAGGCAGAGTTCTGGTGATCTCCTCTGGCTACTCAGAGGAGCCTGAAGAGGAATAGACGCAAAACACAAATCTCCACAGTCTCTGTCCTGGACCTCCAAGCATGTACTTAACTATTATTTACCATTTAATCATGTCATTACTCTCTAATTTACTTGAGAATGTGTTTTGCTCTCATTAAAACTGTTGCAATGATCGCTGCCAAAAGTCTACCCACCACTGTTCTGC